ACCTGGTTTAGACCTGGTTTAGTCCTGTTTAGACCTGGTTTAGTCCTAGTTTTAGACCTGGTTTAGTCCTAGTTTAGACCTGGTTTTAGAGTCCTGGTTTTAGTCCTGGTTTAGTCCTGGTTTAGACCTGGTTTAGACCTGGTTTAGACCTGGTTTAGTCTTAGTTTTAGACCTGGTTTAGACCTGGTTTAGTCTTTTAGTTTAGTCCTAGTCCTAGTTTAGACCTGGTTTTAGTCCTAGTTTAGACCTGGTTTAATCCTGGTTTAATCCTAGTTTAGTCCTAGTTTAGACCTGGTTTAGTCCTAGTTTAGACCTGGTTTAGACCTAGGTTTAGACCTGGTTTTAGACCTCGGTTTTTCCTAGTTTTAGACCTGGTTTAGACCTGCTTTAGTCCTGGTTTTAGTCCTAGTTTAGACCTGGTTTAGTCCTAGTTTAGACCTTGGTTTTAGACCTGGTTTAGACCTGGTTTAGAATTTAGACCTGGTTTAGTCTTAGTTTAGTTTAGTTTAGTTTAGTCCTAGTTTAGACCTGGTTTAGACCTGGTTTTAGACCTGGTTTCAGACCTGGTTTAGTCTTTAGTTTTGAGTGTTAGTTTTAGTCCTAGTTTAGACCTGGTTTAGACCTGGCCGGATCTGGCCCCCGGGCCGTATGTTTGACACCCCTGGGTTAAAACTTGAGTAAAACTAATTGTTCAGAGACACGATCAAATGAGTCAGCAATAAAATCCGAGGGCCACATTAAAGGTCTTGGAGGGCCTTGACACCTGTGCTCGAGATCCACATCAGCTGTTTGACATTATAATGTGTTTAATTCAGTTTTGTTCAAATCTCACAGAAACAAAACTTAAAACCACATCACTAATTTACATAAACTAAGTGAAGATAAAACTCCAGCTCTTGTGTCGCTGATGTGGTTCAACTTGTGTTGGATTAAAAGACATGACTCAGGTGAATACAGGTCAGTGTGACCAGATTTGTGTTTGTCAAAACCAGGACAGCGTACGGGGGGAGGGGGGCGGGGCCTCGTCATCCACATTGAGCGACTCTCACCTGGAAAAACTTTTTCCCACTGGACACAGAAACATATGTGCTGCTTTATCCACTGTGCACATGGACTCACACTTGTCCCAACGCAACGGAAAGTGTGGAATTTCTTCTACAAATCCTGGTTAAATCCACATTTGTGCTTCGGTTCGTTACAGACTGACCCACTGTTTGTGTCTCGCTCCTTCTGATGCAGAGACACATGTACACACCTGTTTGGTCACGACACACACAACAACCTACATTCGATTTGTCGATTAAAATTAACGTAATCGATGAAATTCTTAATGATCAATTATCGATTAATCGACTAATCATGCCCATCCCTAATGCAGACTCTCATCATGTTGGGCAAATTTCATATTCACAAAACAAAATGGGCAGTAAACCAAATCAGAACCACTTCCAAAATGAAATACAGTAATATTTCACAGCTGTTAAGACGGTAACTAATAAAAAAGCTGAGAAATTGTATAATATAGCTGCTTAAAGACTCACAATACCCTGCATTAAACTGAATGACTTAAACCAAAGTTTAAAAAAAAAAAAAAAGTCAGCTGTTTCCCCGGAGTTTGTTTAATTTTGTATAATATAATTTCTTGTATTTATGTTCCTGTATTTTTATTTTTGTACGATTTTACGTCACCACCAGCACCAGGGACAAATCTGAAGTTCAGCAGCCGCCAAAACATGTCAACAAAGTAAAAACACTTGACTGTACTTTACTGTAGTCAGGTTTATGGAGATGGAGACAATAAAAAGTTCCACACTGATGCTTTAAAAACACGCCATATCTGATTCTGAGTCCGACACAAGCTCGTCTCCGCAGTGACCTTTTCTTTGCCTTGAAAACTCCTCAGAAGAACTTCAAAACAGATCTACCTCACGTTTATTCAAGTAAAAGCATCATATTCTTGCTGTGATCGGGCGCTTCTAGACGTCTCTGGTCTCCATGGAGATAATTGTTTAATGCCATACTGTGGTAAATTCAAGGCAAAACAAATCTCCATGGAAACAAGCCAAAAACAACATTACACACCTTTATAAAACTGCATTTCTTGTCGTCTAATCATCACATTTCTTTGAGTAAAAGCATCGTATTCTTAGTGTTATTGGGCTCGCCTCTCCACATATCTTACTTACTCGTCTCCATGGAGATAATTATTTAATGCTATACTGTGGTAAATTCAAGGCAAACCAAATTTCCATGGAAAAAAAACAAAAAACACAATGTAAACCTTTAAAAACTGCATTTCTTGTCGTCTAATCATCACATTTCTTCGAGTAAAAGCATCATGTTCTTACTGTGATCAGGCTCGCCTCTCCACAGATCTGACCTGTAATTTGCCTTGATGGCGTCGCTTACTCGTCTCCATGGAGATAATTTAATGCCATACTGTGGTAAATTCAAGGTAAATCTCCACAGAACTGAACTGAAAACCACATTACACGTCTTTAAAACATAACTCTGACAGGCAGAGATCAAATACGAGTCAGGTTTGTGGAGATGTGAAGATGGAGTTGTTTTTGGGGTTTTAATTTTTTTAGTAAAAAGTTCCACAGTGGTGCTTTAAAGACACCCCATATCTGATCGGGTGTGTGCCTCATGCTCACATTTCTTCAAGTAAAAGCATCGTATTCTTACTGTGATCAGGCGCTTCTCTCATCTCCATGGAGATAATTTAATGCCATACTGTGGTAAATTCAAGGTAAACTTAAGGATTGAGTGAATTTTAGACAAGTAAGATCTTTTATGACTCTGTATGCGGCACAAATGTTTTTACACTCCATGATTGTGTCTCATATAGAGAACCACATGGTCAGTGTTGTGAACTTTACTTTTAAAATGTAATCCCCTACAGATTACAGATTACACACACCAAAATGTAGTTTTTAACAGAATCCATTAAATTACTTAAGATGAGTAATGTAATCTGAATACTTTGGATTACTTGATTTTCTGTAGAGAAGCAAAGACCAGGACATCGTAACATAAGAAGTTTTGTCTGATAAAAGAAAATAAAAAGTCCAGACTTTATTGAACCAAATTAAAAATATTATTGATAGAAGAAGAAGAGACACGTCCACACAGCAGGATTTAGTCCTGTTAAATCCTGTTTTAGACCTGGTTTAGTCCTGGTTTAGTCCTGGTTTAGTCCTGGTTTAGTCCTGGTTTTAGTCCTGGTTTTTCCTGGTTTTGGACCTGGTTTAGTCCTGGTTTAGTCCTGGTTTTAGTCCTGGTTTAGTCCTGGTTTTAGTCCTGGTTTAGATCTAGTTTAGTCCTGGTTTTAGCCCAAAATGTGAAAACAGGAAAATACCGCCGTGTAATCCATTTATTTCAACAAAGTAACTGTAATCCAATTACCACTCACTGAAACAGTAACTGTAACTGAATACAGTTACTCATAATTTGTACTCTGATTACATAACTCTGGTACATGTAATCTGTTACTCCACCAACACTGTCTACACGCCACAACTGAACAAAGCCCAGAGTCACCGTGAACGAACAAACAAACAAAACCACTCACCCATCACACTGTTGGGTTTCATTTAAAGTCCCAAAAGTTTAAAAATAAACCATTTAATGACAGTGTGTCTTATAATCCAGAGCGACTAATAGTGCAGAAAATACGGTAATTTAAGACTGTCAGAGGGAACCAGGGCCACGTCCCGGGGAAACTGAGCTCCACACAGACGCTCCACATTCAGACAATGTGTGTCTCAGTCAGAGGCACAACATTTTGAAACATTCTCCCCTTATCAATAAAACAAACTCCAACACTGGACACTTTCAAATCCCACTTGAAACAGCGACTAAAGGATGAGCGTTCTTGCTATAATCCACAGGTGTCAAACATACGGCCCGGGGGCCAGATCTGGCCCTCCAAGACCTTTAATCTGGCCCTCAGCTGATTTTCTACTAAAATATTTTAATGATATTTTCTATTAAAATCTTGTTAATTTTCTGTGGTGTTTATCACAGCAGCGTCTCCAGCGTCTCTGTACGTGGCCCCTCCCACCAGAGCAGCACAAATGAAGACTTGTCTCTTTCCAAACGCTCTTAAAGGACGATCGTTTTGACTGTTGACCGTGACACCCTCATCAGAAAAATGTCCAACATGAGAAAAGTGGAGCCGAGTGCAGGATTTTTACAACAAAAATTGGACTTATTCCTGTTTACAGACAAGTTCATGTTAAAACTTTGTGTTGAAATTGTATTTTTCTTAAAGTTTCAGGTTGTTCATAATATTATAATATTTTGTAAAAGAAAGAGTTCATCAATTAAAACAGATTTCTGTAATAGATTTGTGTTTCTCTGCACAAATATTTGAACTTATTGTTATTTTTGGGGTTTATATGACATGAGTTTTCTGATCCGGACACTTTGGGATCAAAGTCGGTTGGACACGACCCCCGGACCAAAATGAGTCTGACACTCCTGGTTTAATCTGTCACATTTACTCTGTAGTGTAGTAGATGTTCATTATTATGCACTGTCCCTATTCAATAAATAAATAAAATCTTAATGGAAAGAAGCCGAAAACAACATTGCACACCTTTAAAAACGACAACTGCCTTTCTTGTGGTCTAATCATGTGCCAGCTGAAGGAGATTACGCTTTGAGATCCACAACGTTAAAGTTACGCGTTTTATTTTGAAAGCCTCTCCCGGAAGTGCCTGCCCGTGTGTTTACAATGACAGGTGCCTCTCAGAATTATTTATTCAGCCTTAATTCTCCTGTTCAGTTACACATCTGCTCTTCAGCTGCGTGCATTTACTCGGTTTTAATTTAATAAAATAAATAAATAAAAATAATCTCTGTCCAGCACGAGGACGCGGTTTTCTCGTGTCCAGTCACCAGCGCGTGCTCCTGCTAGCTCCCCTGCACACCCTGCACGTTTAAAAGCACAAAACCACGTTCTTAAATGTCAGAATATAAAGAGTCGGTCTCACCTTTGGCCTCGCAGTCCGCGCAGTACTTGTTCTCCTCTTCCCGGAGCAGTTTGGATAGAATCGCCTGGTGCTGTTCGTTAAGTTTTTGCGCTTTCTCTCGCTCCGATCGCGTCGTCATCGCGCCGTTCGAGGTGTAAAAGTGCGGTCCGCGGTCGAGCTGAAGCCGGCAGGTCCGTGTCAGTCCCCGGTGTCGGTCAGAGAGCGCAGGGCATCCCCCGGAGGAGCGCTGTGCCGCCGCGGAGCCGTGCGCTTCAGCCGCGTCCTGCTGAACAACCTGCGGCCGGAGACCTGGAGACAGGAGCATCAGCGAGGCGCGTTCACGAGCGTGGGGATTCTCAACACTCATGGGCATGAGACAGGGTGAGCAGACATTTAAAACAAAAAGTGGGACAGTGGGACATCTCGGTTTTTTGTAGTTTGTAATAATAAAATAGTGAAATGAAAAATGTTACGCACGTGAACAAGTACAGTCACATTTTCTTTGTGTTTTGGTCATTTTTAAACAGTTTTTTTGTACTTTACGAAAACAAATGACAGTTTATGCCTCTCTTTACTGCAAAAAACAATTTCTAGGTAAAGTAATATGTTTTAAATTAAGAATATTTGACTATTTTGAGTCGATTCAACTTCAACAGGAGGATGCATCATTTGTCTCAATGTCAGAAATTCAACTTGTACCTAATTTTAAAATGTGACAAAACCAATTAAAAGAAAATCTGTGGAATATTTGCTCAATTGAATAAAATCTACTGGGTCCACTAAGTCTCTTAAATTCCATCCTAACAGTGTCCATAAAGCTCTTGCAGAAAAATCTGTTTTTCTCAAATAACTTTATAAAAATAATTATAATAAAAAAAATATTATATATATATATATTATATATATATATATATTATATATTATTTATTATTATTATATTTTTTTATTATTATTTTATTTATTATTGTTTATTATTATTCAAGGTCCTTGAAATCCCAATGAAATGACACTTTTGCCATATTTCTGAAACTAACGATGATCGAGACATAAAACTGGTACCAAATGATCCACAATGTTCATATTTATATTCAACTTCCATTGATTCTGTTGGGATAAATTAATTATTTTTGATGTTATTAAAGAAAAACTGATTTTTCAGCTCAGATTTCAGGCTTCTGCACTAAACTTCAGAGGCTTGATGGACCCAGTTGAATTTCATGAAATTTCTCATGGAATTTTACTTTGGCAAGTGTAAAAAAAAAGGTTCAAAAATGTTTTAAAAAGTTGGGCAAATGATTCACTCTGTTGAACAAGTGTGTTTGTCTTTATTCTGGACTTAACACACAAATTTGTGAATCACATTATTATTTCATTATTTTCATTCCGCACTTTTCTCTCTAATTCAATGTCTCTTCTCTTTTTAATTTTATGATGATTATTTATGTTCTGACTTGTTTTTATTGTGATTTTTATGTATTTCTTATTCTGTAAAGCACTTTGAATTACTTCGAGAACAAATTGTGTTTTACAGATAAACTTGTCTTGTCTGATTTGTTCAGTTTGCAAATAAAACTGTACATTAAAGTTCTTAGTGCAGCTTGCAGTGTTCACTCCTGCATCGTCTCAGCCATTTATTTAATTTAATTGTATTTTATTTTATTTTTTATTTTATTATTATTTATTTTATTTTTTATATATTGTAATAAAAACTAAAGATTCAGGCTAATACATACATCGTATTTTATATAATGTCCTTAAAGTGAAGAGCTCATTTGTTTTCATCAGTGACGTGGATTATCTTTGGTTACAGAGAAACAACAGCGCCCTCTACTGGATGTTATCAGTTAGTACACGGTGCATGAGGTTTGTGATACTTTTACAGAAGAGAAAGTTTGATTTAAAGGTTGTATAGAGGATTTTTTAAAGGAAAGAGAAATACAGCAACAATCCTTTTTCAATGTTGTGCATCGTGACACCATCTTCCTCCAGAACAGACCAACACCTCAGTTTTAGACCCTTCGTCTGCTTCAGTCGCACAATCACTGAGGAATTTCCAAGAACCACCTTGGTTTATCTTCGTTCCTTTTCTCCTTCTCTTCTTCTTTCAGCGACCTCAAAAACTGACTTTCTTTTGCGGCGAACTGGTCGTGGATTCTCGTTCGCCATCGCAACAAACTTTGTGCAAACTGCGAGAAAGCTACAATTAGAAAAAGCCTCTAAGAACCCTGGAAACATTAGTTACACTAGAAACGTAGGGAGTTTGATTGACGACCTAACAGCCAATAGAAAATGAGGCAGCCTCATTTTCTATTGGCTGTTATTTATCTGGCCTCAACGTGTCCACAGTTGATACATTTTCATTCTTTTTTTTTTTTTTTGGTCATCATAATTACAAAGCTGCTGCGTCTCTGATGGTATTTTGAACTTTCATTGACAATTTGAAACTTAAAAAAAAAAATCCTCCATACAACCTTTAATATACAAACATTTAAACACAGAACACAGGAACAGAGGGATTATAAATAAAAATGGTGAACAGGCCTGTGTGATGCAGAGGAACGACACTGGATCTGCATTGTTTCCCAAAAAAATCTCTTGCGACTGATTTTTTGGGTTTGTCTGATCTGCCGCTACGTCTCCTCCTGCACCCAGACTGAACACGCTACAAAAACACAGACAGGTCCAACGATCTCACTAGAAATGTTCAAATGTTGAGACATGTTTTGTATTATTTCTAATCTTTTTGTAATTATTTTATTGACAATTTTGTTCCAGTGTTGCTGATTCAATTCAATACTGAAAAGAAAAAGAAATGTTCTATATTTAATGTCCAAACAAGCGACTTCTGGATCCTTTTATTGCTGCTTCAATGACTCTTTTTCATTGTTTAAAACTTGAGTAAAACTAATTGTTCAGAGAAACGATCACTCAGTTTATATTCAAAAATCCACCTTTATTTTGTGATTTATGAATAATGTCGATTGAATTGGATCGTGAAGGTTTGTGACTTTTAAAATATGGTTCCCAGAAAAAAAAAAGTTTGGGAAACTCTCTGGATCTGTGTTGAGGTTTAGAAAAGACATGAAAAAGCTCCGTCATTTCATTTCTTTTCTTATTGGAAATGTAAATGTACCTTTGTTTGTGTTTTTTTTTTTTTTACCAATGTCTGTGTGTGTTTCATGTTCTGTGTGTGTGTGTGTGTGTGTTCATGTTCTGTGTGTGTGTGTGTGTTTGTGTGTGTGTGTGTGTGTGTGTGTTGTAGTTTTTAATTTTAACACTCGGAGTTTGGGTAAACGCTATTTCGATCTCCTGTGTAAAGTTTGTGTGACTGACAATAAAATTCACTTTGACTTTTGGTTTTTGAGGTTTGAGGCGCCAGAAAACAGGAGGAGGACCAGAGATCAGATTTATGGATGTGAGAGGCAGAGGAGAAGGTCAAATGGAACAAAGAAGAAGATCAAATGGACCAGATGAGGAAGGTCAGATGGAGTAAAGGAGAAGGTCAGATGGACTAGAGGAGAAGGTCAGATGGAGTAAAGGAGAAGGTCAGATGGACTAGAGGAGAAGGTGTTATGGTCAGATGAAGCAGAGAAGAGCCAGATGGGTCAGAGGAGTGTGAGATGGTTCCAGGAGAAGGAGAAGGTCAGATGGACCAGAGGATAAGGTCAGATGAAGCAGAGGAGAGATGGACCAGAGGAGCATGAGATGATTTCAGGAGGAGGAGAAGGTCAGATGGAGCAGATGAGAAGGTCAGATGGGTCAAATGGGGCAGAGGAGAGTCTGATGGAGCAATGGATAAGGTCAGATGGTCAGATGAAGCAGAGAAGGACAGATGGAGAAGACGAGAAGGTCAGATGGAACAGAGGAGAAGGTCAGATGGAACAGAGGAGAGATGGACCAGAGGAGCGTGAGATGATTCCAGGAGGAGGAGAAGGTCAGATGGACCAGAGGAGAAGGTCAGAATGGACCAGAGGAGAAGGTCAAATGGAGCAGAGGAGAAAGTCAGATGGACCAGAGGAGCGTGAGATGGTTCCAGGAGAAGGAGAAGGTCAGATGGAGCAGAGAAGGTTAGATGGAGGAGAGGAGAAGGTTAGATGAAGTAGAGGAGGTCAGATGGACTAGAGGAGGTCAGATGAAGCAAAGCGAAGTCAGAAGGAGCAGAGAAGAGTCAGACGGTTCCAGGAGAAGGTCAGATGAACCAGAAGAGAAGGTCAGATGAAAAGAAAGAAAGATAGAAGGTCCTTTTATCGTCCTTGTAGGTAAATTTATCTCTTTTCTCTTCACCCAACTCCACGATCTTGTTCTCATCTCGGTCAGGACTAACTTCTCTGTAGAACTGAACCCGTGCTTCGTGTTTGGGTCGATGAGGAACCTGTCCAGAAGAAGATTCAGAGGACACAGTCAGAAGGTCAGATGAAGCACACCAAGTCTATTGTCTCATGTTTATTTGGGGCAGCAGGATCGACTTCAGACAGTTTGACGACACGGAAAATAACGTACAAGTCACAGACACGTGATTAGTTACAAAATAATCACAATAAATCATCAAATGTCGACCACAGAAAACAAACCTACCGGACGTTAGCTTATAAAAAAGTGTGTGAGTGATTCTAATCTGTGTGTCGTTCGTTCGTTCGTTCGTTATTCAAAATAAAAACAAAAATAAGAAAATGAAAAATAACAACTGTTTTCTTCGTTATTTGTCTCCGAAACCGAAATGAAAAAACAGAAAATTATTCGTTTTTTTCAGTTTTCGATTTTGTGTTTAAATGAAAAATGGAAAAAACGGATAATGGACTAAAACAGGTCTAAACGAGGACTAAAACCAGGACTAAAACAAAGGACTAAAACCAGGACTAAACCAGGACTAAAACCAGGACTAAACCAGGACTAAACCAGGACTAAAACCAGGACTAAAACCAGGACTAAAACCAGGACTAAAACCAGGACTAAACCAGGACTAAAACTAGGACTAAAACAGGTCTAAACGAGGACTAAAACAGGACTAAACCAGATTTAAACCAGAATTGAACCAGGACTAAACCAGGTCTCAGTCCCGGTCTGGTCCGGGTCTGGTCACGGGCACATGTCCGGGCCAGTCCCAACACTCCTGGTTTAGGACTGAGCCCGGGACCAGACCAGGTCCAGAACTGAGACCAGAACTGAGACCTGGTTTAGTCCTGGTTTAGTCTTGGTTTAGTCCTTTGTTTTAGTCCTGGTTTTAGTCCTGGTTTTAGTTCTTTGTTTTAGTCCTGGTTTTAGTCCTGGTTTTAGTCCTGGTTTAGTCCTGGTTTAGTCCTGGTT